GAAGAAGTTCAGGATACAAGTCTACAGCCCATATGATAAAAGTCAGAACTCTCTTAACCAATCCCACCTAACCCCCACCAGCCCATCTCCAAAAAAAAATAAAAAAGACTGACTAATGCAGTGGTGAAGAGACTGCAGCATAGAAAAAGGCCAATTGAACAGTGTGGTTCACACAAACACTTTGGACACATTTTTTTGAGAGAACTACAGACCATCTCTTGGGCACTTGTTGCTGTAAGAGTACAACTCTATGTAACAAAGAAATAAGACATCAATGCTCTGATCAGATGAAAACATGAATTCAGTTATTTGCGGAATCTCAGCCAATTTATATGACCCACAATTCCTCTACATGAAGCTATGTGGCTTGCTTCTGGCTCAGAGTGACCTCCATTAGTACCAAGGTTATGCAACGACATATAACTACCATAGCTTCTAATCACAAAACAAGAGAAAGGACAGAATTAGTCCAGAGTCAAGCTGCTTTCCCTGACCTAGTAGGAAATAACAGCATCTCATCTACACCTGAAGTAAATATTAAAGGCTATCAAAACATTCACAGCAAGATGAGCACATTATTGCAGAGCAGAAAATCAAACAAGTGGTGCCATACCGGATAACACATTCAAAGGAACTGGAACTTGAGATTCTTCCTATAAATATTGTATAAATTTTGTGCATTTTACCCTAATACAAGCTCCTTTTCGGGAAATTAAATATTTCGCAAATGTCACACCAACAAAATTTACTCAACATTGTCATTTAAATATATTTTTTTTTCCCACATTCTTGTCTTTGTTCTAGTATGCTGCAATCATAGTTTGCAAAACATTATTGATACAGAATTCATTGTTAACAACTGTAAGCCACGTCACAGCTTCTTCCATGTTTTCAAGGACATAGTATGGTCTCTCACAGTAAGCGAGGAGGAATCTGTAAGCTGACTTCAGTGTCTTAACCTGTATCAGCTTTTACCCAGGATTCCAGCTGTTCTCTGTCTTCTTGCTAAGAAACGTGAGAGAGCAAGAGTGCCAGAGGCAACTGAAGTCAGACTTCTCATGGGGAACAGAGACTGATTAAAGTGCTAGGATCAATTGTTGTTAAGTATGACAATTTCATATAAGAGTTGCTCAGAATTATCTACAGTTTTGAAAAGGAAAGAATATATCAGATTTCACAGTCAGGGTACAAAAGATAGTACCTGATGTGCATGCATGCTTTCACATTTTACAACTGTTGCAACTTTCTTTTTCCCTTAAAAATGTATTAAGAAATCAGCTTCTTGTTCCAAATTCAGTGAGTAAAAGAGAGCAGCATAGGCTGAATCCTAATACCAGAAGTAGGAGCTATAACTAGGTTTAAGCGTACTGCAGTTGTGTGATGTATTTCATTTGATGTGTACTTGCTAAATCTCAAGTTTTAGTATATGCTTGAATCCAACCAATTGGTGTAAAACACAGTTACTATTTGGCTATCAAGAATATGTAACATTGCAGCATTTCATCAAAATGCACCTAAAAAACAATACGAAACCAGGATGGATCGTCTCTTTACTCTTTCAATTAGCAGCAGAAAAAAGAAAAACAAATGAATTTCTATATTAAAAAAATAAATCAATTTTGAAGAAAGTGATTTTACTCCATCATGTAGCAACTAGCATACTTCATATGCGATTCTAGTTCTTCAGTACAAAGAAGTTTTATTTTTATGTGCCCTGCCAAAATTAAAGAACATCTATTTATTTTCTTACTATAAAGAAACCAATTTCCCCTTCACTTAGATAATGTTTCCCCAATTTATTCATGATCAGAAGAGCTTTGTATCTTTGAAATCATTCATTTGCTAAATAATTACAGAAAAAGACTGTATATGAAATTAATAGTTGATTGAAAGTTAAACCTAGGTACAGTCATGTAAAGAGAATGATATGCTCCTGTCCATGCACAAAAGCACTGGAGATTTTTCCAGTGTTCATTCAACAGCCTTGCTAAGATTAGACCAACTCTTCATTAGTTTGGTATTTGGGAGCTCTCTTGCAGATATCTCTCCAGCTTTACCTCAAGTTCTATCTCTTTCTTCCATTAAGCTTTTACTTATCCCATATCTCCCCCCCCCAGTGCACGTCAAGGCTAAGATTTATCCCTCCTCTGATAACAACTTTTCACCACCCAATGAAACTATCTGCCTTTAGTATTACTTTAGAAAGTCATATTTCCAACATGCTCCATGTTGCATAACGTACAAGTCATTACAGAGATTCTGCAGAGACAATTCCTGCAGTGTTTCCTGGAAAAGCAATCTTGACAAGTGATTTGTACAGCTGTTTCCGAAGATTCACCAAGAAAATACCTGCTTGTGACTAATATTAATATCAGCATTAAACATACGAATACATCTCAGAATATATTAGACCAAGACAGAATTTTAAATGAAAATAGCTCTGATTAGATTGTTATAAAACTCTGAAAATAATAAAATAAAAAGAGCATCTACAGTCTTTGTTTCAAAATGATTTCATACCTCAAACCGAGAAAAAAATGTGAAGCAATTTTATTTAAATATAGTTACTAGCTTATAACACCATTTTAAAAACAATTTAATTCGGACTTTTTTTTCCTTTCTTTAGGTAAAAATGTTCTATACAAGTCCATAGCAAGAAAGTCTCTCTTTAGAACTACATTCCTAAAACTCAACACAGAAAATTCTCATAAGTTGTATCTGTATTTCAAGCAAAATAGGTCCACGAATCTACTTGTTCACAGCTCAAGAGGCACAGACTACCTATGATCTGCTTGCAAAGGTTGAAGTTTGTCACAGGTTTGTCTTGGAAACAGTCAAGAGCAGTCAAAAAACAGCATCAGAAATTAAGCTAGTAGGTAAATAGTGTGGACCACCAGGATCCAGAGTTCGTTCTCCACATTCTTTGTTTAGCTACATAGATGTAGCCTCACAAAGTTCATGACCTTGCCTTTGCTGTTGCTTTTGGCAAAATATCTTTTGCATGACTTCTGCAGATCTATCTGGTAATGATAATTTCTCAAAATAAAGGCTGAATAAGTTGATGTTTTTCCCATGTATGTAAACCAGATAACATTATGATTGGAAATAATTGTATTTGTGAGTTTGATGAAAATTTTAAAATACATCATCATGCTGTTTTTAAGTATGGAAATCGATGAGCATGGATTTATGAATTCATGCTTTTCAGAACAAGTTGATGCAAATAGTTTTTACATACTCAATCACTGATTCTTCAAATCCTAAAGAACAGGAAGAGCTTTCAAAATACATTATTGCAGTTGAAACCATAATAGAAAAGAATAATAAAATGTACTAAGACAACATCTCCTGTCAAAGAGACTTGCCCATTTTTTGCTTATTCTGTCTTTCCAGTTTCTCAGCACCACTGAAGAGAAGACGTGGTCATGGATGTTGGCTTTACTGTTTTCCAAACAAAACCAACGTTCTTAAATATACTTAATTTGCCTACAGTAAGCTTCACACACATTTGGTAGTTTCAAAAGGATGCAACTTTTTTACACTTCAGACTGCTAAATCAGACTGCAGTTTTCAAAATTTAGTGATTTGGTTCACAGCAGGAATGAAAGACAAGAAAAACCCTAACAGACTGCTTTGGTACACTGATAATAGGATTCTCATTTAATGCACAGTCTATTCAAAAAGAAAACCCAATCTGTTTTTTAAAACAATGCTGTGACTGCACATTAAAATGAATAGCTCTTATAAGTGGTCTCAGTGATAATCCTGGAAGTAAAGCATCTAACACCCAATGCATCACATCTGCACTTATTTACTTGCTACTACAATTTAGCAGAACTGACCACAATGATTTACAGATTTTTGGGAAACGGTCTCCAGTTTAAATCCAACAAACTACGCAAACCTTCCAGTGTATCAACTGATAGGTAAGAACTTCCACGTTGTGCAGCTTGTGTTTTAAGTTTCCAAGTGTTTTTAAAATTGCTAATTAGTTGCATTATAATTCTCAAGGATCCATTAAGGCAACAAAACATTCAGTGCTTGCTAAGATTTGACTAATCTGTCTAAACAGAATTATGTATAAGCATTCAGAAATTCAGCAGAATTGAACCACTTAATTTATAGCACCAATACATGTATCAAGTACAATTCTGTCTTTACAAAACTATGCCATATGTACCTTCAATCAATTTAACCATCAAAATAAAGCTTAAAATGGGCTTGCAAGGAACATCAGTCTTGTGGTGCTTTTCTAAAAGTAGTAATGAAATTTCAACTTTTTTCATAATCACATAAGATTCAAAGATATATAGCTTAGATTTAAAAGTACAGTTCAATATACATTTTTTTTTCAAGCATCAATGATAACTGGAAATAATATAACGATATGAAGCAATAAATACAGAGTTTAAAGTATGGAAAATTTAGAAACCACAATTCAACAGGTTACGTGTGTGTACCTATATACATATTTATGCTGTTTTATTTTCTTGAGAAAATACCCATGTGCATCTTATGTTTTCTTTTTTTTGTTGAAATTACTTTCATGTACCTTCTCAAGTTCTTCTATTTCCAGAATATACGTATTCCTCAAAAGAGAATATTTACCTAAAATTATTTAGAAAATGTCTTTTGAAACTACTAAGTTTTTTCTCCCTTTCAATGTTCTAGTCATAGCTCATAAAAAACATAAAAGACAAATTTGTTAATTTTGACCTTCAGCAACTTAGAAAAAGAAAAATAGGAAACAAAGTCAATTGCTATTCAGAACTTCACTTAACAATGAGCTGAAAAATTGTAACGTTTCACTAATGCTAGCCTAAAGCCTAAACTTGAAGCCCAATCCTGCTTGCTTCTGAGAAATAGGACATTTACTTCTACTTTAATAGACAGGATTAGAACCAAAATCAATTCAGAATGAAAAAAAAATCACAACACACCAGTAGTTGTGTTAACTAAAAAAAAATGGATGCTCGGTAAAAAGAATGCAAGGCAAAGAATAGAATAGTGCACTGTGGTTTTATTGGTGGCAGCAAAGACAATTTGCTTCTTTCATATGTAAAAAGTATTCAGCTTAATTTAACTAAGAACTTTAAAAAAGTCTCTTGTGGTATCAAGTTCAAATTTCTTCTGCTCATATCAGCTTTTATTTGTCCCATCCTGTTGCTTGAAAAAAGCCAGAAGTTTTTCTAGAAGTCTTCATCAAGTTGGAGCTGCCAGTGAATTTTCCCTCAACCCAAGAAGATCACTAAATGAAAAAGAAAAAAAATAAGAAAAACAACAATAGATAACCACAGATAAGCCCCAAAACACTTTGTACAACTTTATTGCTGTTTCTTTTTTTTTTCCCCTCCTCCAAAAGACTACTCATCTGCTTTTCTGTACTAGCATCTCTTTAGAAAAATAAGTCAGAAGATTGCACCTCAATGCAATATATATATATTATATACGTATATATATATATGTAACCATACATATTATATATGTATATATATTATATACGTATATATATATATATGGTTACATATATATATATACGTATATAATATATATATATGTTTGGTATAACACAAGGAAAGTAATTTTGTAAGAAATATTGCCCACAAATGTTAATTTTCCATTAGTACAGACTTCAATACACGTTTTGTAGCAAGTTTGAGAAAGTGTAGATTAATTCTGTCACTGAGCAAATGAAGACCCGAGAAACAGGTAGTGACCAAGCAGTCAGAGCTTCATACACTTAAGTTCTTTCTAGCTCCTCCAAAAGCCACAACTCTTCAAAACACACATTTCTGATTACTTATTTTCCTTTTATTTCATATTACCATGACATTCTACCCAGGAAACATAGGCTCAGGAAGTATTTTTTTTTTCTCCTTGTACTGACAGTAATCCCCCAGACATAAGAAGTATGTAGGAATATGGTCAAAAAAGCAAAATCATATTTATTGCATGTCAAACAACCAAAAAGCTGCAGAGACTAGCAGCATCTATTAAGCCAGCCAGAGATGAAAGAATGAAGCAACAAAAGATATTAAAAGAGCCTAGAAAAAAAAAGAAATCAGCTGGTCCATAAAAAATTAGATGCAAAACAAAGACACTGTAGATATCAACCACTGCAACTTGGCAATGATTTCTTTATTCGGATTAGACTTTTAATGAAAATTTGAAAATTAATGATTTAGAAAATTCAAAGGTAAAATGAATGCAGTACAGCATACTTGATTTGATCAGTTGTTTTTTTTTTTTGTTTGTTTGTTTTAGGAATTTCACATTTTATATTTGCTTGTGTTACAGAAATTACAGTAACTTATTTGTTCAAAATTCTCAAAGCCTACTAACCAGTGTTGAGGGCTGTTACACAAACCAACAAATAGTAAATTTGTGGAAAGTTTTTTCATAGGATCATAGAATCATAGAATCTCAAGGTTGGAAACGACCTATAAGATCATCTAGTCCAACCATCTTTACACTGCCACTGCTACCACAAGCTACTAAACCATATCTCGCAGCTCCTCGTCCAGATGCCTCTTGAACACTGCCAGAGATGGTGACTCCACCACCTCCCTTGGCAGGCCATTCCACTGCCTGACCACTCTCTGAGAGAAAAAGTTCTTCCTTAAGTCTAATCTAAACCTCTTCTGGTACAACTTGCGGCCATTTCCCCAGGTCCTGTTCGTTGCCTGAGAAACTCACAAAGACAGAAAAACACTTAAGCACTTAAAAATTCAGGTCTCCTATTCTTGAAATCAAAATCCATTAATGAAATGTCAATATGATATATTTACCATTTAATTCTTATTAATCAGTTTCTAGCTCTTGGGGGCTGATAAAATTGTTGAGTAGGTCGTGTGGACCGCCTTGGTTGACCATCACCTCCTCTGCGGAATTCTAGAGTTTGCTCATATGTTTCTTCTTCATCCTCCTGTGGGTAAATAGCATTGTTTTAAATGTTAGAGTAGGTACGTGAGTAGTTATATGTATATACACACATTTAAAAACATACACACATAAACAAAACTATGTATGCATAGGAACTGCTGCTTCCATGTGGTTGAACATTTTATAAAAGAAGTGAATAGCCCTTAAAAAAAAAAAAAAACTAGGAAAACTAACAAAAAAAAAGTGAAGAATCTCAAAATTCAGTCCTCAAGGCAGTAGCAGAAGTCATTAAATATTTGCAGGAAGAAAAAAACACATGTATTAGAGCAGAAATTATTCTCCAAGAGTTGTACAGGCAAACTCAATAAGAAAGATAAATTTAGTAACCTGCCAGAGGAAGAGAAATATCTGTTCGCAGGAGTTTAGAAATGTGTTTGAAATTAAGTAAGAATTAAGGAATGGAAAGGCAAGGAACAAAATCCAGCAATATGCATCCTCAAAACACAAATCTGAAACAGCAGACACAAATCCGTGATGAAAAAAAAAAAAGCTACAAGCATAGTGGACAGTAATTTAGATATGAATTTGCTACAAGCAGAAATAATAAATATAACCTCTGAATAATGAGGCAAGATGTATTATACATTTGCACACAATGCCTTCACTTCTAGGAATCTCAATACCAGAAACACACTGACAAATTATACGGCGTTCAAAGAAAAATAACAGAAATAATTGGTCTAGAGAAGATTTTTTTAGAGCATCAGAATTTATAACAAAGAGAAATGGAAAAATAAAATTATGCACTGTTTCTAAATACATATATGTATATATATATATATAAATTCATTCTTGAGCAGGAGTTTCTCAAATAGTTTCTCAGGGTAATAGCTATAATTTTTCATTTATTTATTAACTATCCTAAAATCAAACTCTAATAGACACCGGGTTTACTGGGAATGGTGGAAAAACCACTTCTGGGAAGAATATTGAGTATATAATTCTTAATTTTATTTCACTCACAATCTAAGAATGTAGAGAAACATAGACTAAGAATATTTAGTAATTATGAATTCATCAACAAACTCAACATCAAGCAATGGTAACAGAGTACAACATGCATATAATGAAGAACAAGCAAACTAGAGCAGAAAAATATTTCATCATAAGAGGTTGAAAGAAAAATGTACAGCCTAGATTTCTTTGTAAACAATAACAACAAAAAAAACCCAACCAAGTCTTCCTAAAGAAACAACACCTCACTCTGAATCAACTTAAATGCTGGTAAACACACATTTTGAAACTAACAGTGATATTATCCCTGATGGCAAGATCAGATATTTAAAAGACAGGTCTGTGGTCAATGCTGCATTTCAGGAACAGCTATTTTTCCAGGTTTGAAAACATAGCTAGTGATTTCCCTACTACTGAAAGTCGGCAATAACTGCATAAGACAGAATTTCAACACAATCAAATAGAGAATAATAAAATAATTTTAGTTTTAGTGCAGCCACAGGCTAAGAACTATGGAATTTTTCTGTAAAACTTATTTTTCCCAACGCACCTCTTCTATTTTTTGCAGCACTACTCCCACATGCAAAGAGGCTCAGGGAGACTAATTACCCAAAAGAAAGATACAGGAAAGTAGAGGTCGAACAACAACAACAAGAAAATCACACATTTTGCAGCAGTCATCTCCCATCACTGACAAGACAAACTACACTAGCATTAAGAGTTAAAAAGATAAGAGAAAAGCATGAAGTTATGTTAATACTGCAAGTTCTCTCAAGATTCTTTCTGAAATCTTCAATCTAAATATAAGAGCTTATTCTTTAAGCGTAAACTGAAAATTGGATTTCAACAAAGCTGGAAGACTAACTGTCAAACGTACAACTGAAAATTAGAAATGCATACTAGTGTTTTGAAGAGATTGCAGCGAATCAGACATTAGTCTTTCCTTTGTAACTTTCTTAGCCTTCAGATCTTTCCGATCTCAAAAAAATCAGAATTTAAATTGTTTAGTGCATTGCATCTCACATCTAACAGCCTCTTTCTGAGGGTAAATATACCACAGAAAATTTCTACAGCAGCAAACCTCCATCAAACTTCAAAAACTATGCTGTTGATCCACTGAACTCAGTAAGAATAAATTAAAACTAGAATTGATCTTCAACATGGCCATTTTAGTTTGGTTGTCTTTATTCACAGAATGAAATCTTCAGAAGCATGTACTCCATCTAGTTCATGTATTGTCATTACAATAGGTTAAGAACAAAGTGTGAAATCACATTCTCTTTCTTGCGACTCTGAAAAAAAATAATGAAAACAAGCACTGAAGCAAATTAAAAGAAAGAGCTAGAACAGGATACTTTTCTATTTTCTCCTTCTCTCTGTACAGAGCTTCCCACAGTTACTGACAGTTTTGCTGAAGTCTGTCTTCATAGAATCATAGAGTCCTCAGACTTGGAAAGGACCTTTAAAGGTCATCTAGTCCAGCCCCCCCCACGATGAGCCTACACAGCTCAACAGGTTGTTCAGAGCCTGGTCCAGTCTGGCCTTCAATGTCTCCAGGGGCAGGGCATCCTCCACCTCTCTGGAGTACCTGTACCAGTACCTCACCACCCCCACTGTAAAAGACTTTTCCCTTATGTCCTTATACCATAGAGTCATTTGAGTTAGAAGGGACCTTAAAGGTCGTCATCTAATCCAACCTTCCAACAACAAACAGAGACATCTACAGCTATAATCACAGCTGTGAATATAACTCATCTCACCTGCTTAACAAGCAAAATCAAGCCATATTTTTGCAATAAGCACAGTTACACTGGAACTCACTGCCCCAGAACACTGTGGAGGCCAAATGATTAAGTAGGTTTGAGAAAAGTCTAGGAAAACCCCAGGAGGATCAGTCTTTCCACAGATACTAGAAACAGCAGTGTCAATGGGACTTCTTATCCACAAATTCCCTAAAACACTGAGTGCTGGGAGAGGAGGATTACTCTAGAGCAATGGTCATTCCTACTCTTAGTCCAAGCATGCACTGTGGAGACAGTGTGCTGTGTAAGACGGATCTTTGTCTTGAGGCAGCATGGCTATTGCTGTGTTAATCTCTGAGACGTATTATCATGCACACTGCAAGGGCCTGGTAAAAGGAAGGACTTTAAAGAAAGCCACTGGGGCATTAAGAATAGCTGAGCACCATCCAAACAGTGTTGAGTGAGCTTTCTCAGCAAGAGAGGAAGAGCACACAGAGCAGTAGTTCCGCTTTCAAGGGCCTTCTGAGAGGCAGGTAACTATTCCTGGAATGTAGCTATCCCTCCATAAGCAGCAGTAAACCCCATCAATAGGTGTAGCCAAGTAGTTGTGTATAACAGATCTTCCTTTTATTGGAGCTTTCTGAACTTTTTCACTCACAAGATAAAATTTGCTCTGTGTTGAGACAAAACACCACTAGTGCTATTGACAAATTCAATCTACTTTCTTGCTCCAAGTAGTAACTAAATAAAATCGTGGAAGTGAATGGAACTCAGGATTTCTCAGTGAGATCAAGCAGCTTCACAGGAAAAACGTCCTTTGATTCCAACCTATTGACTCTCATACTTCAAAAAGTGCAGTTTGCTCAACAGTTTAGTCTATCAGCAGCCTCCTGCAGGAGTGAGGGTCCTCCTGCACTTTTCTACTCCAGAAACAGAGAAGGCAAGTGGGCACGATGGCTGCCAGGTAGGTCCAATGCTGTTGATAAAGGATCCCATTAAGATGGGTGAAGGAATAAGGAAGGAGTATTGCACCTACCATGAGGAACTGTCACATTTACTGAACGGGCTCAGTTACCACATAAAGGGTGACATCTTTATGTCAAATGACAATTTGACATCTGTTTCTTGCATTTTACCTATTCCTTTGATCCTGATCAGATCAAATATTTTCAAAATAATATTTTGTCAAATCAAATCATTGAACAATGCTTGTTGTTTTACAAGTAATTTTATCTGTTATGTTCCACAATTTGTCAATCACTTATCCTCATCTACCATTGATGTCTCTTCCTTTCTTTTCTACTGCTATTTTATTCTACTTCTAACTTGCATATTTCTCTGAGTCCATCTCCTTTACCTCAATTCACTGTAAAAACTCTCCAGATCATTCTCAAAACTGTCTTCCACATTCTGGAACAGCATCTAACCTTTGTAGGCAAAACTTAAGTTCTCTAGTGCATTCACCTCGTGTCTTGTGTTCTTCCAGCTAAAAATTTCACCCCTCTACATATTATCCTACAGTCACTTAGGTTCTCACATCTTGAAGCCTTATTAGCTGCTTGCTTTCAAATCAGCTGCTTGTGACTTATTCTAAATTATACAATTTCCCACCTACTTACACATAAAAGATCTGATTACATTTTTTAAAGTTGGCCACAACCTCTGACACTTGCCACCTCCTTGGGGTATTTTTGTCCTATTAGCAGTAAAAGTTTTACAATACAAAATTTATGATAAAATAAGTAAATTTGATTATCTCATTTTTTCAGCTTATTAAATATTATTTGTTAAAATACTCTGGAATCAGGGACTGAGTTTTCTAGTACTTGGCTATGTAGGTAGCCAATGTGCAAGCAAAACTCTGTCTACAAGCACAACAGCAAAAAACAAAGGCAAGTGGCAGGCTCACAGAAAAAAGCAAAGTCTATAGTGCAAACAATGAAATGAACCAAAACATTATTCCAGTAACAGATTCAAAAAGCATCAGAGAGAGTGATGGATATGAGCATTATTTAGGTATTTAAAATGAGATAGCAAAGAAGGGAGCATAAATCACTGAGAATTTCAGCTTCTGTTCAAAGTTTTGCAATAAAAATCTGCTGATGCTTATGCTACTTTAATTCCCTCTCATAAGAAAGATGAGGACTTAACAAGTGTAAAATGGGAATACGTACACACTCAGTGCTTTTTATTTTGGACCCATATATTCTCAAGAGCTTCTACCAGCACTGTACTTTATCAGCTAGGCTTACTTTTACACTGAAAATTCAATGGACTTCACAACTGC